TCATAATAATATTAGCTTTATTGAATCTTGTACCACATTATCCTGTATCTGGTTTTCGAATTTGTTCATAATTATACGGTCCAGAAGAAAAGCAGACAGGAAATACAAGTGCAGAAAGTCCTTATCACATTTATGTGCTTAGTGAATGTGCTTTTTTGGTTTGCAATGAAGTGTACGGATGCCATTCCCACATCATATTGTGTGCAAGCACACCTGTCGTTTTCCCAAACTCGATATGAACAGGTACCAGCTAGGAATAGCGTTATAAACGAGGTTCTTTTAGCAAACACAGCTATCTGGCCCGACTCACGAACTGCCAGTTAAAAGGGACACGATCTTAAGCATCTGTTGTTTTCTCTGCGACATAGTGAGCGGTCGTGTATCGCCATCGGGTCGAGGAAAGTCTGAACGATTCTCAGGCGTTCATAGTGTGAGATTTGTGAATTCGAATATTTATTTAGGATATAACTAGTGACTACAAATGTGGTCATGAAACCGTGTTCTCTAAAAATCTATTTCGTTATATATCTTCTCTACGCTCGTGCGCGGTTCGTTTTCAAGCATTGCATTTTTCGATCTTTATTTCAGATATCAATCGATCAACGCCTATAGGTATTTTGTGTGTGACACTTTGATTCTCCGTGACAATGTTGCTGCTCCTCACTCCGATGGTTGTGTTGCTCCTAACTTCAGGTGAACCGCTTGTACTGAGCTCGTACATGAAGTGTGTACGCCTTCCTTTATATCGAACTACAGGGGCCGGTTGCAAGAAAACAGCAGCAACACAGCTACCATTCTCTCCAACGTGATACGCTCTGAGAAATGCCATCAGCTGCGATTCCAATGACAGAAAATAACATACAGAAAAAAAATCAAACTAAACAGAAAAACTATAAATCCACTTCATGTCGCGAGGCTAACTGAATAACGATCTCATGCACTAGACGTTCTACGAAGAAAACACACTAAACAAAACGCGTCTTTTCGCAGGAGTAACGGCTGGAGAAACACCGGGCATGTCTGAACCGCTGAGATGGGCCAGAGGGGCGCGTACGGCCTGACGAAACCCTGGGAGGTTGTCGGAATCGGAGAGTTTTCATGTGGAAGGAGGGCTATCGCTATCACGACACGGAGGACACGCCGCCCAACAACGACTGGAGTGACGAACTTCACTTCTTCGGCTATTACGGGTGAGAGAACGGCGCCCAGTCGTTATAGACTGTCTCCACACGTTTCTCATGACCGAGCCCGTCGTAACTCGACGACTTACGGAGTCAGTCTGTAGGTGTCGACTTTGTGTATACAGGTCAATAGAAAATTTATAACAAACTGTGGTATATTGTGTGTTAATTTAATGACGAAATTGGCAAGTTACTCGTTGATTCGTGTAATACAGCTGCGGTAGTGTGTTATCATGCGCGCATGCGTTTCACAGGCGATAGTTGTAAGCCCGCTCACCATTATAATATATATACTATTTTCTTTATATTCACATTTTTATATATGATAAATTTGTTAATATATATATTAAAGTATATATATATATATTAATATATTTATATTATGCTGGTATTAAATTTATCGTATATTATTATATTCTCTGTACGCTATAAAGGCGGAACAACATGGAGCAGCACTTCTGTATGAAGGTTCAGCCGACGACATCAAAAGACCGATGGCCGGTTGGACGGTACTGCATCTTCCGGGCGGCCGGCAGTCCTTGTCCGGTCGGTCTGTCGGAGGGCTGGATCTACTGGGATGACGAGTCATTAGGCAACGACAATGAGGTTCGCACCTAAACATGCACTTGAAAACGCCCTTGAAAACGCATGTGAACACGCACTTGCTCGTGTAAAATGCGTCCGTACTGGGTTAGAAGTTATTTATGAGCGCGTATGTACTTATGAGTGCGTGCGTGCGTGCGTGCGGGTGCGTGCGTTAGTGCGTATGTGTGTATAGACATGTGACTAACGCTTTCCACATCACGGTGCTTGTGCCCGATTTCTTTTATGTACTAGGTAGCAGGCGTAGTACCGCACGGGGTATACGACAGCAACACGAAAATCTGGTACTGTTGCAAGAGTGATGGCAACACAGATGATCCCATTGCTCTTCCTACAGAGAAACCGTTCTATTTGTTCAAGCACGGGGACGCATGCCAGCAGGTGCGGGGTCGCGCGTTTATACAGTGACACGTATGGCACATATACAGTGACAGTTATGTGAAAATAACGCTGACCTAAAGTTACTTGACTTGTTAAATAAGCATCGATATCGGTAATGCGGTGTAATAATACTTCCTTACATGTGTGCTGTGGTTCTCTCTACCCCTCTCTCACGCGCGCTCGCTCTCCTCTCTCTCCTCCGCTCTCACGCGCTCTCTCTCTCCCTATCTCACGCGCGCGCTCTCTCTCCCCCTATCTCACGCGCGCGCTCTCTCTCACTCTCTCGCTCTCTCTATCCTATAATCTCTCCACTTTCACTACTTCTCCCTCTCGTTTGCTACCTCTCTTGCCCTTTCACCCACCCTCTCACTTTCGTTTGCCACCTCCCTCGCCCTTTCACCCACCCACCCTCTCTCTCTCTCACTCCTCTCTGACCCCTCTCTTTCTTTTTCTCTCCCACTCGTTCGCCATCTCTCCTTCTCTCGCTCGCCCTTCCGCTTCCCTCTCTTTCTCTCTCTCATGGTTGCTAGCTGAGAGAAGCCAGACATTGAGTGACAGTATCTGTAACATCTCCACCGTTGCAGGTTCGCGGCATGACTGTCTCAGAGGAATGGTTCGAGTGGGACTGTGAGGATGACATATTTCCGAAGAGCGACTACTACGGCTCGGTTCCAACGAGCGAAATCGACAGGAATGTGAAGATATACTACTGTTACTACGACCGAGAGTAGGACGAAGAGAGAAGAGACCGAGAAGGCCGTATAGTAGAACGAGTAGACCGAGTCAATGAGCTAAATATAACAAGGAGAGAAAGCGCCACCATATCTGGCCGAAATTTGGGTTCGGCAGAGACCCTAGAACAGATTAGTATTCTATTGTCTCTGGGTTCGGTCTGCACAGCCGTTTCAGCTGATTATGGCCCATAGATGGCGCCCTTGAGGCGAAAAGCGCACAGCCAATCCGCTTCCTCTCCTTGTTATATTTAGCGCCTTGAATAGAGTGACGTGTAACATGCTGAGAATGCGTGTTGATACTACCTGCCTTGGTGCAGCAAACGGGAGGCCCGGATGAAAGTATTAACGCGATGCGAGCTCACTCTCGCAGTAGGTTTTAAACGATATGCAAATTTAGATATAGAGAAAATTACTTCGTTTACGCGAATTAGAATCAAACGTGATACAATCAAGAGTAACATAATATGTATGTATATATAATGTCACTCAATGTAACTCAAAGGCAGCCGACACCGGCGAAGAAATCTGAAGTTGAGTTATGAAGATAGAATAAAAGTCGAAAATTGTCATAAATGTCTCTAGCCGTGTGTATTAACATTTTCCATGATGCATGCACCTCAATAAACAATTACGCAGCATCGCGGCGACCTAAAATAATACACGCACCTTTATTAAGTACAATGTTTTTTATGTAAATAACCAATCCCAAATCAGATGCCCAGGCCACGTTTACATGCAGTATAAGAAATCGAATATATGATATAGATTGGATTCCAATGTCGCATCGCGATCTCTACTACCAATGATATATGCAAATAGGTTTGTTACAATTCAGGATGCTCATACATATCCCCTGCGTGGTTGAAAATTTGTAAAGATAGTGTAACGATAATGAACACTCTACTAACGACGCCACCTAAAAATATATACAAATTCACGTCATGATTTTTTCTAGTTAATTGCAAATTCACACACGGGCTTAAAATATTTCAGCGTATCCAAAAATCACAAGATAAAACATCACTAAAATTTCACTATACTCGGCTGTCATTTCAACTAGCCAAACAGGCAAAACGTTGAAAAATGCGATGTGTATTTGATACTCCTTCACCAATACGTAAACAAACAAGGCTATATATCTATCTACAGTTCCCGATCGATCATTCATAAAATAACGTTACTCGTTCAAAGTTATATCTTCCTAAGTAATAATTTACATAGGAAGAATGAGTAATATAACAGTTAATCGTAATGATACATATGTAATTGGTGATATATGTATATATATATATATATATATATATATATATATATATATATAGTTGTTTTCTATATATATATATATATACTGTGGACATAGTAGCACTATTAGTAAATAAATACGTCATTCACCGATTCCATCATTGACCAAGTAATAACATATTCATGCCTAAGCGACATGCGATGTTAATGCAGATTCCAGACACGGGTATAACTACATATGTACGAGTTTTAATAGCAATCCATTCATCATTATTGAATCGTTCAATTTGCATGGTTTTACTATTATGTATCACCGATTACCAATACGTATGAATACGGCGCAACATCACTATCGAATCACTATGAACTATTGTGTGGTGTGGTCGTGTGCTTTCGAGCGTGCGTGCGAGCGTGCTATGTGCACACGGAGGTGTGAGCGTTTGTGCACGTGGGTGTGCGTACCTGCGTGTGCGTGCGTGTGTACGAGTTATAGACTTCCAATTCTGCCTGTCGTCCAAACATTTTTCACCGCCTTCGAGCGCAAATGATAAGACCCAGCAAGCACATACACGCGCGCGCAAGCAAGCGCGCATGTATGCCCACCCACGCGCACACACTCACGCACACACACACGTGCACGCGCGCACGTACGGGCACACGCACACTTAATAGCGAGCGTCGCCGGCAGATGGCGCGGTTATCGCTTCTTGACGTTGATCAGATATTTACAGCAGTGCGTCAGCAGATGCTTCTCGCCCTCCGTCTGCTGGTCGGCCGACATCGTCTCGCGCGTGTAGATGTCGAGACCGTACTGGCCGTCGTTGGGAAACGCGGCGCGGAACGTGATGACGTCGTCGGCGAGGTGGCGCTGCACGTTCTTCGACAGCGCCTTGTCGTTGGCGCCGTTCTGGTGCAGCGTCGTCATGAAGTCGCTGAGCGGGTGCGACATGCGGAAGCGGATCTCGACGTCGCGCGTCGTGTTGATGACGGCGTCCTCGTGTGTCATCGGTATGAGCCCGAAGAGTTTGTACGCCTTCAGCGGGCCCCACTCGCCGCTCGCGCAGTTCGGCAGCGGCACCATGCAGCGCTCCAGTCGCTCGCAGATCACCTTCATCTTGCAGACGGACTTGAAGCGCATCGGCTGGCCCGTCATGTACTCTCCGGCGCTGACGAGGTTCGCGAAGACGTCAAGTATGTAGGCGCCGACGGTGGGCGCGTGCACCTTGAAGACGACGCTGTTGCCGACGAGCGTCTGCATCACGTAGCGACGCATGTTGACGCCGTCGTGCTCGTCGCGCTCGCTGTCGAGCATGCGCAGGTTGTAGTGGAAGACGAGGTGCGATACGAGGTAGGGTGGCATGAGCACGTTCAGCGTCACGGCGCCCGTCTTGTCGGCCGTCATGACGGCCGTCTGCGCCTCCTCGGAGAACTTGAGGCCGTACTTGAAGAAGAGCGAGCGCACGAACGGCAGCTTCTCGAACTGGTCGAGCGAGACGGGCGCGCGCAGCAACTGCCACTCCTTTTGCTTCGGGAAGAACTCGTAGATGAACTGCTCCGGGTCGGTGAGGAAGTAGTGGTCGTCGTACTCGTAGCGCAGGTTGTCGACGCCGCCCTTCTCGCCCGGCTTCGGCGCGTCCTTGGCGTTCACCAGGTGGCGCGCGCCCCAGTTGCACTGCACGAAGCGCCAGCTGCCGTCGAGAAAGACGGCGTTCCATGTGTTGCGGAAGCGCTTGTCCTCGAACTTCATGCCGGGAAGATATCCGGCGCTCTTCGAGTAACCTCTGATGACGACGCAGTGCATGCCGGCATAGCTGTGAAACGTGGAGAGAGAGAAAGTGCGCGTGAGGAAAGGACGTGCGTGTGCGTTGCCTTGATACGGGATTGATCAGGAGACGTAGTGTATACGTTACTTACGGAATATAATTTACGATTGGCTGATCACTACGGGATGTAGTTTACTGTTTTAGTTTTTAGATATAATATTGAAAATTATGGTAGTGGTGCTGATACAAGATTGCCTAAAAGGACTGGTTAAATACTACAGGATGTAGGTTTACTGTGTTAGTTTCTAGGTATAAAATATGCCAGTTATAGTAGTAGTGGTAGTCTTGATATTGGATTGATATAGGATTCCTGGGTGAACACTACGGGATATAGTTTCACTGTGTTAGTTTCTAGATGTAACATTGAACTATTAAAGTAGTAGCAATAGTGTTGATGAAAGCTTGAACGAGAGACCTGGGTAGGCACTACGGCATGTAGTTACACTGTTATAATATCTAAAGCTCAGGCGAAATAAATTAACGCCGTTTACTCTCTTACAGTCTTTTGCTGAGAGACAATGCTAGCCATCGTTACTCTCTCACTTATATACAGGGTAGAGAATAGTTTGGAGCAGGGTCGAGCATAGCTGGTTGGGGCCTGCGTAGAGGGGGTGTGTGTAAGCACTGAAGCCTTCTCTTTCTTCCCTCCCTTCTTTATTATGCGTCGTGTTTACGATATTAAATTACGAGATTAGATACAGAAGAGCTAACGTAACGTCGGTCTCAGGCAACTAAACTCTTTGCGCTCACTCTCCTGACTCAACGCGAGGCGCCACGTTTGTGACGTCATGTATGCGAGTGACATCTATAGCGACTGACAACATCCGTTTTGCTTTGTTTAAAACAACTCGGCGTGACGAGCGAGCGATGTTTTTGATTGCCGGTATTATGCGCTGGTGATTGCAATGTCGCTTATCGTGTGCGTGTCATTTTGGATAACACTTGAGTTCTAACTCTGATTGTGATTTTTTTTTTCATTATTCATTTTATTTTGGTTTGCATTCATTTTGATATCTCGAGCAACAGGCGTATTATGGTCTGCGCGATGTTTAGGAATACCACTTTTACCAGTGGTTAGTTACAATGATATATGGATTCAAGAACGTATAGTTAAACTAATGAGCAATTTAACTTATTAATTAGCTTAGATTTAACTTAGAATCCTGGAATATGCAGTATCAGTCCAATTACCATAAAATGCTTGTGAAAATATACAAAAACACACGACGTCAAAACCCCAATCAGATGAGCATTCTAGCATTTATATAGTTTTGATGTAGAAGAATCTAGTTATCACCAATCACTCATGTAAAATATTAAAATAAGATACCTACACGCGTCTGTAGGCCTACGAGAAAAAATAACGCGTGTTATACGTCTACACGCGAAAAAAATGACACGAGGTACGCGTCTGCGCGATGCAAAAACCCGCATCGTAAAACGCATATTAAGCAAACACAGACGTCAAACTCGCGGTGTTTTGTAACATTATCGCGTGAACGCGTTCAAACGCGTCTGCGCATAACTTCAAGGACG